ACTGCCCCCCCCCCCCCCCCCCCCCCCCCCAAAAAAAATAAAGGTGTAGGGGAGGTAGGACTTGTGAATGTGGTTTAACCGGTAATGTGGAAAAGAATGGACAGACCTTCCCCCTCCCTCCATATGCTATATGAGCCTAAGAAAGGATTAATGTTTCTCTAGAAGTTAAACTTGGGGGAGTGGGGTGAGTAGTGTGAGTCCTAGAGTTGGCTAGCATGTGTTTGGTACAGAGTTGTAGCAGCCCTCTCTGGTGATCTGAGCTGGCCAGTACGGTTGTTGTACATCAGAAATGGAGCTGTATCTTCCGAAAGGCTACAGCCCACGCAGCGTGCAAGAGGGGACCTTGTCTGTAACACCAGCTGGTGAACAAGAGGAGCTGCTGCTTCTTGAGAATCTTGTTAAATGGAGATCCTTTGCTGGGGAAGGGGATTAAGAACAGCCAGGCCATTTCAGGCTAGGCCTAGTTTGCATGTGCATTTTTTGGATGTATTTTTGTTATAAAGGCCAAAAAAATTGCTACTTATGTGACTATAATAGCTTACTTGTGTTTGGAAAACTGGGTAGGGCTACAGTACTTTATTCTTTTTGTGCAATGCTGGAACTTATTATGTGAAATTGAGAAAATCTGGTATTGTGGTTGACGTGAACCTTGCTGGTCTCTGTGAAAGCTACTGCGAGGAGCTCAGCTGATCACTGAATCCTTGGTTGGATTGGTGGATCTATAGAGCCCTCAAAGCAGGGCTCTCACCACCACCAGTGGGTCAGGTCAGCTGTGGCTGTGTCTCGCCAAGTCTCAAGCCCCTAACGGAGGTGGCTCCAGCACCCTCTGGGCAGCCTGTGTCAGTGTTCCACCACCTCCCAGTGAGGAAGCTTCTGTTGTCCAGCTGGGACCTCCCACACTTTGGTTTGTGGCCATTGCTGTCTCGCCTGCCACTGCTGAGAAGGGTTTGGCTCCGTCATCTCTGTAACTGCCCTTCAAGTAGTGGTGGACTGTTCCTAGACACCTCCTTGGCTGCTTCTTTGCTGGAGTAAACAAAGCCAGCTCTCTCGGCCTTAGCTCATATGTGCCCTGGTCATCTTCGTAGCTTTGTACTGGATCCCCATCAGCATCTCTCTTGAATTAGGGAGTCAGGGGGCGAAGACAGGACAGGACATGAAACTGAGCATGATTTTACAGCATGATTTCACTGGTGCCAAGTAGATGGGATATAGTAACTTCCATTGATCTGCTGGCCGTAATTCTCCTAACGTAGTCCAGCTAGTGTTTATTTTATTTCTGGTGAGAGTGCGCTGCTCTTTCATATTCAGCCTGGTCCTCACCATTAAGCCCCAGGTCCTTTCCAGCAGGGCTCTTGTAGAGCCTTGTCACTTGCCAGCCTGTACTGGTGCACAGGGTTATTCTGCCCAGGTGTGGAGCTCTGCACTTCTCCTTGCTGAACCTCGGGTTTCTGTTTAGGTTACTATCTTACTGTGTATCAGCTGTCTCTTCATGATTTAGCATCATCAGTGAATTTGATGTGCCAGCCTATTACAGCTACTTTGGACAGTGTGGGGATGGGCAGGGAGGTGTCAGCAGCTAGTGATGTCTCCTGAATTCTGTCTTGAGCTCTGCCTGAGTCACCTCTGCTTTTCACCAAAGATCATTCTGATACAAAGGAGCAGAATCATAGAATAGTTTGGGTTGGAAGGGACCTTTCAAGGTCATCTAGTCCAACCCCCCTGCAATAAGCAGGGACATCTTCAACTAGATCAGTTTGCTCAGAGCCCTGTCCAGCCTGAGCCTGAATGTTTACAGAGATGGGGCATCTACCAGCTCTCTGGGCAACCTGTTCCAGGGTTTCACCACCCTCATTGTACAAATGTCTTCCTTATACAAGGAAGAACAAAGTGAGCTTTCTGCTCTGAAATAGTATTTTGTCCTTCTTGGGGAGAAAACCTTCAAAGAAGTTTGATTTCTATTCTGAAAAATGAACTTGGGTTTCATGTCTGACTAACTGGGTTTTATATTAGGACAAAGAGACCTTGATCCTGTTTGAGTTTGGGCTGTCACTTCAGTGCAAGCCTTTCTTACTATGGCTGAATAGGCATAGGTGATCTTTTGAACACTCTTTTATGAATAAACATTGTATAATTGAGGAAAAAATAGATAATTTTCTTCTTTTTGTAGGCCTTTGGGTAGACATGTCCTTGACATTTACATGAGGTACCATTCAGATTGCAACTTCAATACAATTTAATATGCTTAAATATTGAATATGAATATTTATATTGAATATGAATTCAGTGATGTTATAAACTTGCAGAAGTAGTGCAAGTGCCGAGAGAAGCAATGCTTGAATTCTTTTTTTTACCTGAAAAAAATTTTATTGTGTTAGAGGATTTCTAAGTTTTGCAGCAGAATGATTTTCTGTAATTAAAGCAGGTATCAGACGATACTAAACTAATGTGTTGTTCTTTCTCTCCAGGAAAATTGAGGAGGCTTTCCATTTTGAAGGTTGATCAGAACAAACTTATTCAACTAACAGATTCAATTGGAGACTGCGAAAGCCTTACTGAACTAGTTCTAACAGAAAATCAACTGCAGGTAAGCATGGTCCTGACTTCTCAAATGTCTGGTGGTAATAAGACCTGCTGTTAAGTGCTGAATCACTTAGCTTGTAAGGTTAGTCAATGTTACCATTGTTAAGTAGCAAGTTTCCTTTAAATGCATCTTATTTCTAACCTTAAATGAATGCTGAAGATCAAGTTGTATGTACTAACAATCCTCCCTTCCAAGGGCTTAAGCAGTTACATATTCACTCTTGAATCTTTCATGATCAGTAAGGGAATCGGAGCACCTGGAGCACAGGCATCATTTACTTTGTTGTGTTTTTAATGCGGAGTTTGTGCTGTTGCGTTGTTGCCAACTTTTGCTGTGCATTATCTGGATCAGACTTGCTGGAATTGACCAGAAGCCCTGAGCGCTGTAGAGCTGCTGTTGTACTGTTCCTTGCTCTGCTGATATACTCTGGCCAGATATTAAATATGATATGTGGTCAATTAAAATAAAATCTCAGACTTCCTTTCATTAGATATTTCCTTCCGTTATTTTGAAAGTGCCTTCACAGGACACTGACATTTGAAGAGTAGAAGTATTTATAAAAATCTAGGTTTGAGCATTTCTTAAGTTAGGTTGGTGCTTGGTTGAGTTAGGAGCTTAACCCTTTTGGAAAGATGCCTCTCCAGAAGTCAGTTCATAGCACCTAAGTTAGAAGCTTGTCTCTCAATTAGCTATTTAGGGAGCCTAAAGTCAGATAATATGGACATTCTGCGTACATGCTTCTGTACTCAGCTGTTGTGCATCTGTCATCTTAGTGCAGAGATAACTCATGAATGACTTTGTATTGGAAACTGACGTTCTTGGACATTTCTTCTGCAAGATAAAACCTTGGATCTGCTTTGGAAGGCCTGGTAGTAACGAGGGTTAGCTACACTCCAGTTTTGAAAATAGATCAGTCTATTAATTCATTTTTAAAGTGAGATAAGTTTTGTTCTGACTCTGTGAATTTACAAATTCTGTTTGCATATTTTGTTTTTGTTGGCACAGTCATTGCCGAAGAGCATCGGAAAACTAAAGAAGCTGAACAATTTGAATGCCGATAGAAACAAATTAACATCTTTGCCCAAAGAGGTAAGTTTTGTGCAATTAACTCTCACAGATGCGATTATACAAACAGAAAACTCTTGATTTCAAATGTCTGCAAGAAGTAGCAGGCAGCTTTCATCCACTGGGTATTCTTCCCAAACCAATCACAATCAGAAACTTGTGCATTAAATCTGAACAGCATAAATCTGAACAGCAGCTGTGGTGATTTGATGGCTTGGAAGTGCAGAATGTCTTTGCAGTTGAACAAGAAGGCTTGGATCTAATTAGCTTGTAACAAGTAATGCCCCATGTGGGTGTCAGGTCCACCACTGTTTGAAGTCTGGGAGCTCTAGTAGAGTGAATGCATTTAAACATCAATATGCGTCTTCTGGATGTAGTATAAAAATACTGCTGAAGTCTTCCTTGTCTCTTGTGAGCAATAGCAAAAGAAAGGTTTCATGTTCTGAAAAATGATTTGGAGTGTTTTTGGTTTTGGAGATCTTGGCACTACTTTAGCCTTTAAATGTGATAACCTGACGTGATCAAGATCACTGATACCTGAAATCTTAAAGCTGTGATCACTAGGACTTCTTGTCTATTGTAACAGTGTATGGAATGAAAGGAGGCTAGAATTTCTGTTGTGAAACTAGGAAGACCCTACAAGTTTAGGTCCGTGGTAAATTCTGGAAGGAGGTTGGTGGAAGCAGCATCCTGTGACTGGAGCACGGGACTGCAAGTTAGTTTTGTTTGCACTACTGTTTCTCTGTAATTTTTGTCTTAAGTGATTCTCCCCCTTAATTTTTCTATCTGTTTCTAACGTGTGGCACTGAGGTCGTAGCTTTTGTTCACCACTTTCAGTCACTTCAGGAGCAGGAGGGTTACATACTCAGGTGGCAGCTGGTGGATGGGAATTGAGAGGAGTATCAGGTCTGGCTAGTGAGCACATACTTCTGTTCAGGCCCGCTTACTTATGGAGCTTGGACAGCTTGAGGAGGTGGTGTGAGGAGGAAGTAAAGTGGCTGGGACCTGGGAGATGGGGGAGAGCCAATGGTCTGAAGAAGACGGATCAAGCAGGGGCAGAGGATACTGCTGTGGCACTGGCAGCTGCAACTCCAGTGGCCCAGGTCTGAGCTGCCACAGGTCAGTCACCTAATCAGGGCTCCACGATAGCCCTTATTCTCTTTTACAGATTGGTTTGTACATGTATGTTTGATGGGGGGGGGGAAAGATGAGGGAGGGAAGAGAAGATGTGAATACTGTAGCTCCTCTAGCAGGACAGTGTCTCCTCAGCAGAGGTGCTGCTGGTTCTGAACAGAAAATGCAGAGGATGTACCCAGATGGGTTGCATGAATGCTAGCAAGAGGCAGGACCTTGAAAAACCATGTTTCCAGGTTGGGATGTGATGGCAATTTTGATCTTGTGCTCATTCAGCAGAAAACTTGCCATGTCTTTACAAAGAACTTAAGTTAATACATTATGCAGGTGTCTTAAACTATCTGTACGTGAGACTTGTACAATTTTGTGTCTAGTCCACCTTTAAGCAGAACTGCTCTGAGTTTGTTATAGCATGTAAGGTTTTACTGATACACTTTATTTCCAGATTGGCCATTAGTAGCTTACATAGTGTATAAGCACTTTTCTTAGTTAATTAATTTCATGGTATTGGAGATGGTGCATGAGGGCAAGCAGTGTGGCTTGGAAGGAGCAGGGACAGGAGCAGTTGAGAGAAGACTCGGCTTCAGAAGCAGGTAAAGCAGGGTGAATATGGAGTGTGTCTGTTTGGGAGTGAAGTGAAGAACAAGAACGTGTGTGGAGAATGTTAGTGCACATGAGGGAGAGGGGAGGGGACACAAGGGGTGGGATAAAGTCAGGGATGACCGTGTTTGGAGAAGGTGGGTGATTAGGAAATCTGGAATGAGGTATCTGGAATGACGTGAGCTGGGGAGTTCTAGAAAGTCCAGGAAATAAAGATGGGAGAGGGTGATTCCCAGGGAGCTTGGCAGAGAAACAGAAGAAACAGAGCCCCTTGGTATCACTCCTTTGAAATAGAATTTTTTTTTTTTCCCCTGTAAAGGTCTCCACAAAGGTCTATCTTTCTCAGTAGAGCAAACACTTCAAAATTATGTTTAATGTAAGATCTCCAGAATGTTTCATTAAAGTATGTTTTGCTCTGTGGATTTTAAAAATTCTTTTATTTTTTATTTTTAAAGGAAGTCAGTCCTTCTCCAGCTGGAGGGTCACATAGACCCTCTAGATTAGTGGGTTTGAATTCCAAGCTGGTAATGGTAACAAATAGAAAGCATAAACAACTGATGCAGTGGTTTGTCTCAAAAATACTGTTAATGTGCATGTATTGCAGAACGTACCGTCTAGCTAACAAGACTTTTCAGTTTCAGTGTTTCAAGTTTCAGTTTCAATTCCTTGTGCTTAGGCTGTGCAATAAAATACTTTTCCCTCGAAGTTTTTAGATTGCCTTCTAACAGCGCTGAAATGCTAGTTTTGAAAACAGAAAGAAATCTACTGCTCTCTGCTCATGTATTGTTTGTTCCTGGAGCTGCATTTTCTTTGTGTAGTATTTTTCTTAACCAGTAGCTTTTTGCTTTAAACCAAACATGAATATTTCTGAAGTATAAGTTTTCTGGCTAAAATTCAGAGGAATTCAATGAAGAGTCACATTTCATAGCTCTAAAAGAAAAATGTTCTGTGTAAACAGAGTGCACAGGTATAATGAGTGCTGTTTGCTGTTGCACAAAGCATCCACTTGAGCAGCTTCAGGGGTGCTGATAATGGCAAAAATTTGGTGTCTTGGTGAAATGTTCAACTTCCATTTTCCTTCTTATCTTTACTGACTTGGAAAAAAAAAACCCCAAAATGCATTGGTAGAGCACCTAAGGAAAACTGAAAAATGTGTCACCCTTTTTCTGTCTGTTAGAAGGTTCTGCTTGACAGTGAGAAAGCATACCATCTTTTTAATTTATTTTCGTCTCAAACTGACTAATTAATATTTAAAGCTGGGCACAAGCTTCTGACAGCAGTCATTTTCAGCACTCCTGCCTGCTGTGAGTTGCTTAAGATGTCTCCTGAGATAGTATGGCGAAGATTGGGGTCTCAGACCTTTGCACATCAATCAGTATTAGTACTTGTACATTGATTCCCCCTTCACAGAAGCAGAGGCAGAAGTAGGGTATGCACTGCAGATATTCTTGCTCAGTATCTTCCCCTCTTTTCCTTTCCTTCTTTTCCTTCCCGCCTTCTCTCATTCTTTCTCTGCCTTACAGAGTGCTAGAACAACTGTGCATTGTGTTCTTCATCCTTATAAGAAATGGGTGTGGGACAGGCCTTTACTGGTGTCTGTTGGAGAGGCACAAAGACATAGTTTGGTAATGTGTACAGAAAAAAATGGGACTCTACTAGGGAGGAGAGTACATGTAACAAATATTGTATCTACTTGCTGATGTCTCTGTCCTTCCCTCCAAAATTAGTTCTGTAGCAGAGAGCTTTTATAGATACGATGGCAGAAATTATGTGCCTGCTCTAATATAACCTGGCGAAATAATCTGAGTTCTAGCCTTTTTGTGGTGGGGGGGGGAGGGGTTGGTGGTTGTTGGATTTTTGAGGCTTTTTTGTTAGCAGTTCAGTAGCACTGGATTTTGGGTCAGCCTGTCAAACCATTACATTGCCAGATTGTTGCAATGCACGCTTGTAAAACCAGTCTCTACCTTTTGGTCTAAGAATTCTTGACTTGAGATTATTGAGAAGCTTGTATGCAAATACTGCTTCAGAGTTTCCTGGTTCAAAGGTTCTTCTGTATCTGGTGCCAATATATTATAAGGTAAAACGTCAAACAGCTGAATGTCTGACCAAGACTTGAGTCACTGACAGATTTCATCTTCAGTATCTCGCAGCTTGATCCCTCTCTCACTGAACTGAGTGGCGAAACAAACTTCGGCAAGAACTGAGAATGTCTAAACCTGTTCATAGTTACAAATGTTTTTCCCCTTCGACTTGAAAGACCTGCCTGGTGACTCTTGGGTATTGAAATCCCACCCTGGCACTGGAACGATGGTGAAACTGGTGTGTTGATTTTGGCACTTGCATAAATAACCTCCTTGGAATGTTTTCCAGTTCATGTGCTTTTGTTAATGAGTCTCTACAACCTGCAGAGATCTGGTAATGTGTCCTTCCTGGCTCTGAGGTATATCATGGCTGAGAATTATTACTACAGTAGGTAAAACTGCAGGGTTTTTGTTTGGTTTGTTTTTGGTTTTGTTTTTTTTTCTTCAGTAACTGTGCTTTTTACATTTTTCTTATCTTTTTTTTTAAGCAAGTTGGGGCCACTTTGTTGTTTCTGGTTTTAACTTCCAGTGCCCTGTCCCTTCCCTCATTTGTGTAAAAGTATGTGTTTGTGTGTCTCAGAGGGACAAAAGGCACTAAGGAAAAATGCAGGAAAACTTGTCTTGAGTTAAGCAATATTGCTGTGCTCCTCCCATACTATTCACAAGTGGTGCAGGGGGTGTTGAAGTGAGTTTGCAGAAGATTTTCCTAGCCAATTTAAAGTTAATAATAATAGCTAATAATAGTGAACTGGGCAGTTTCTTCCACCTCTAAATGTATTCTGTGCTTGCAATTAAAGAATTAATCTATTGTATCCGGGCCCAAGGAAAATTCTGACTTTATTTACTTTGAATCCAAACAAAATTTTGGTTACGACACCCTGGAAAAGATTTTACAACAAGATAGGAACTCTGTTTAAATTCCCAATGTATTTATCCAAGTTTTATCAGCCTAGTGAGAGTTCTTGATGCTGACAGCTGTATTGAGAGTTGAGTAAAAGAGATGTGTCACTGGACTTTAAATAGTCACATGCTAAAGAATAATCATTGTAGTAGTTGTCATAATGTTGTGTTTTTTTGCATTGCTGTGGTGGGTTGACCCTGGCTGAACACCAGGTGCCCACCAAAGCCACTCTGTCACTTCCCTCCTCAGCTGGACAGGGGAGAGAAAATATAACAAAAGGCTCATGGGTCAAGATGAGGACAGGGAGG